TATTTGACAGAGAGAGACACAGTGAGAGCAGGAACACAAGCAGGGGGAGTGGGAGAGGGAGAAGCAGGCTTCCCGCGGAGCAGGGAGCCCAATGCGTGGCTCGATCCCAGGACCCCGGGATCATGACCTGAGCCGAAGGCAGACGTTTAACAACTGAGCCACCCAGGCGCCCCAAATAAATAAAATCTTTAAAAAGAAGAGAGAGAGAAGGTAGAGGTGGCAGATTGGACACATGTGTCTACCAAAACCACACTAAAAAGAGAATTTTGAAAGGTTTTTTAAAAATAGAATCCAACAAGTTCAGGGAGAATAAGAGGAGAAAATAGCAATAAAATTCCAAAAGCTGGAAATCAGAGAGATGAGTGGTAATAAATTACAAAACCAAGAAAACTGAATATTAAGGTACCAGTAAAAAAGTCAGAGAATCAACCCAAATAATACTAGAAACTTTCCTGAAGTTTCGGGAATTGGCAGCACTGGGTCCTTCGGGAAGTGAGAATGAAGAAAATTACTGAAATAAGATTAAAGTCCATTTAAGAAGCAGAGAGGTTTTATTCTATAAAAGGAACATTATCTCCCCTGTGATCAATCAGTTTTTCCCTGCTGATTTCCCTCAACACCCCCCCGCCCCCAGGATAGTCAAAACCATCTGAAAATAGAATGGTTGGCCCTGGAAGACAGCAGGATTCCTGCCCCACACAATGTTCAAGTTTAAACTGGAACTTTGCTTCAGGATTATTTTTCGCCTACTTTGTTGTATGAAATGGAGTTCCAGGTTAGGAAAACACCATTAACCACAGAAGTCCCTTCAACTCTGAAACTGTATCGTTATTCAACACAACTGACGATCACTTTCTTCTCCAGATCTCTGCCCTGGGTCCTTCCCAACAGAATTTAAACATTTTCAGGTCTCTACCATCTTCAAAAGAAAAACCATCCCAAACTTTCTTGACTCGGTATCTTCCCTCCACCACCCTCACTTTGGCCTCCCCTTTAAAACAAGACTTCTGGAGCACCTGGGTGGCTCAACTGTTAAGCGTCTGCCTTCGGCTCAGGTCATGATCCCAGAGTCCTGGGATCGAGCCCCCCATCGGGCTCCCTGCTTGGCCTGGAAGCCTGCTTCTCCCTCTCCCGCTCCCCCTGCTTGTGTTCCCTCTCTGGCTGTGTCTCTCTCTCTCTGTCAAATAAATAAATAAATAAAATCTTTTTAAAAAATTCAAAATAAAATAAAATAAAACGAGACTTCTCTGAAGGATCACTTCTCTCCCGGCCTCCATTTTCCCTACTCTCATATCTTAACAGCCTCTGTTCTGTTTCCACCCTCATCCGTGCCATGAACATTTCACATTAAAGTCACCATTATCTCCATATTGCTAAGCCCGGGGCTGGGGAGGGGGCTTTGTTTTTAATTCAGATAAAATTCACAATTTAGCCTTTTTAAAGTATACAATTCAGTGACTTCCTTTAGTATATTCACAATGCTGTGGCTTTTGGTATATTCACAATTCATATCACCACTAATTCCAAAACAGTTGTGTTCCCCGAAAAAAAAACTCTGTGCCCATTTACAGTAACTGCTCACTCTCCCTCTCCACCCCTGGCAAGCAATAATCTACTTTCTGTCTCTCTGGATCTGCTTCTTCTAAGCCCAGGGAACATTTCCCAAGCATCATTTTACTGTGCTTGTCGGCAACAAGTATCTCGTTCCTTTGAATACTCTATTCACTGGCTTCCTGGATTTTTCTGGTACTTCTCCAAACACAGCTCCTACCCAATCTCCTTGGCAAAGCCATCCTTCGCCTCCCAATCCTTAAAAGTTAGAGCTTCTTAACATTCAATCCCAGACTCAGATTCCTGTCACTTTGTGCTCTCTCCCTAACCC